TGATTTTAGTTATTTCCTGTCTTCTAATGGTTTGTTCTTTTTCTAAACCCTTGAGATGTAATGTTAGATTATTTATTTTGTATCTTTCTATTCTTTAATATATGAGCTCAATGCTATGAACTTTCCTCTTAAAATCACCTTCATAGTGTTACAGAGATTTTGATATGTTGTATCACTATTCTCATTTACTTCTAAGGATTTTTTTTTAATTTCTCCCTTAATTTCTTCTATTATCCATTTGTCATTCAAAAGTCTCTATGTGTTGGTCATATAATCACATATTCACATAAGATAGTAATGTCTGATTCATTCTACTGTCTTTCCTATTTCTATTTTTATTTTATTGTTGATTTCTAATTTCATTTCATCATGATCTGATAGAATAAAAGGCATTACCTCTATTTTTTTATCTGCTAATATTTGTTTTGTGGCCTAAAATATGGTCTGTTTTAGAAAATGTTTCATGTGCTGCTCAGAAGAAAGTCATTGATAAATGAAATATTCTATATGTGTCTGTTAGATGTATATTATTAACTGAATTTTTTAGTTCTGTAGCTTCTTTATTTAGTTTTTGTTTAGATGGTCTATTTAGAGAGGCATGTTAAATTCACCCAGTATTTTTGGGTTATGGTCTGTTTGATTTTAGGATTTGTTTGATGTACAGAGATGTCCGTTGTTTGGTGCATAAATATTTACAATCATTGTTTCTTACTGATGTATGATTCCCTTAAGCAGTATGAAATGGCCTTCATGGTCTCCTCTGATTACCTTTGGCTTGAAGTCTGCTTTATCTGATATGAGGATAGAAATCCCTACTTGTTTATAAGATCCATGTGAATGGTATTTTTTTCCCATTCTTTTTGCCTTCAGTCTGTGTATGTCTTTGCCTATGAAATAAGTCTCTTGGAGACACCATATTGTTGAGTCTTGTTTTTTAATCCAATCTGCCAATCTTTGTCTTTTGATTGAAGAGTTTAGCAAATTTACATTCGATGTTTTTATGAAGAGATGATTTTTATTTCCTGTCATTTTAATTTATTTCTGGTTTTTTAAATTTGAATTTGATTCTCTCTTGATTGACTAGTCTTCTAGTGTAGTTCCTTCCTCTGCTAGTTTTCATTTTTATTTTTCATTTCTTCTTCATGAAATATTTTAGTTAATTCTTTTAGCTTTTGTTTGTTGTGGAAGATTTTTATTTTACCTTCTAGTCTGAATCTTAATTTTGCCGGGTATAGTATTCTTGTTTGGCATCCATTTTCTTTCAGAGCTCAGTATATATTATTCCTAAACCTCCTAGATTTTAGGGTTGGGGTTAAGAAATCAGTTAAGATCAGATTGGTTTACTTCTAAATATGAGCTGTTAATTTTCTCTAGCAGCTTTTAGAATTTTATCCTAATTCTGTATGTTAGTTGTTTTCATAATAATATGTCTTGGAGTAGATCTGTTTTAATTTTGTATATTTGGAGTCCTGTACACCTTCGCTTGTTTGAATTCCCATTTCATTCTTAAGGTTTGGAAACTTTTCTATTTTTATTTATTTCATTAAAAAGATTGTGCATTCCACCAAGTACAGTGGCGCACACCTATAATCCTAGTGGTTTAGGAAGCTAAGACTGGAGGATCAAAAGTTCAACACCAGCCTCAGCAAAAGCGAGGCACTAAGCACTAAGACAGTGAAACCCTGTCTCTAAATAAAATACAAAACAGGGCTGGGGAGGATATGGCTCAGTGGTTGAGTGCCAGGTTTTGTTCCTCGACTAAAACGCTCAGGGATCACTCCAGTTGAACTGGGCTAACTGGGCTGCACAAAATAACCACACAAAAGACAGAAATAATTTTGGGGGGAGGGAATTCGTTGTGACTGCTCCTCTGACCTTAAGGGTCCATAGAAAGAGAGAGAGAGCACATGCTGACCCCTTTTATTGAGGAGAAGCTATTCAAATGAGGCAAGGGGTCAGGTTTCAAGGGGCTGAGTCTATCTTCATGATGTCCACTGTCAGCAGGTTGACTGACATCTAGGTAGGCCACACCCAAGGGTACAGTAAAAGAAGGGGACACACACAAGGTGTTTCCATGGAACATTCTATCCCAAACAGGGCAAGGGGTAATATTACAAAGGAATAGGTGAACATAGCTTCACCCATGGAGCTGTAGCCAGACACACCCATGCACGAGACACCAACCCTCGAACCCAAGAAGGGTAGGGAAAGTCTAGCAGAAAGCTGCCTGACACCTCAGCACCCAGCCAGGGAGTGTGACTTAGTCACATGCAAGGTCTCCCACAGTTGAGTACCCCTGAATTCAACCCCCCCACCCCCCTAAAAAGATTGTGCATTACTTTAATTTGTATTTTAGAGCCTTCATCTAGCCCAGTGAATCTTAAATTTGGCCTTTAATGTTATCCCATAATTCTTAAATATTCTCTTCACGGTCTCTAAACATCTTTTCTCTATGGTCAACTTTATTTTCAAGATCATAAACTTAGTCATTGATGCCTGAAAAATCTGTCTTCCAAGTAGTCTAGTCTATTGGTGATGCTTTTCATTGAATTTTTCATTTGGTTTGTTTATTCCTTCATTTTGAGGATTTCCAATTGATTCCTTTCAGAATCTATATCTCCTTATTGAAATGATCTTTCACTTCTTGTTTTTTCTATCTGATTTCACTCCTTATGTTGTCTTTCACCTCATGGAACACTATGAACTTTCTAAATTCCTTTTCTGGCATTTCTTCCACTGTGGTGTCAGTGAAGGATGTTGTTTAGGCATTTGGAGTTGTTTGGGATGATTTGTTCCCTGTTTTTTTTCATATTGTTTGTATGTTTGCACCATCTATCAGTATGGTTCTAAAGTAACAGAGTTGCTACCCTGTGAACTTGTAGTGTCTCTGTAGGTTTCCAGTACCTCAAAGATTAGGGAGAAATAATAGTAACAACCAATGCAAACAATATAGAGCATTAAACTAAATACTTAATTCCTGCTATGACATCTACAATGTTAATTGCTACAAAAAAAACCCAGAAATGGTAGGGTCATCAATTTTCATCAGCACAAACAATAAGTAACCCTGTGTTATATCTGGCATTAAATCAAACAAGAGGTATCAACTGTGGCATCCACAGCAGTAATTACTGCAGTAGCATTAATGGTGGGGGCAGGTATTATATAAACCAAAATAGTGCTAAAATACGGTAAGATTAGAGTTAATTAGGATAAAATAAAATGTGATAGGAAGGCAGAAAAGAGTTTATAATTCCAAAATGTGAACAAGAGAATGCAGAAGATATGTAGGATGTGATGGTTATAAGGAAGGAGAAAAAAATAGTAATAAAAAAAGAAAGGAAGAGTGAAAGAATAGTAGATTTTGGCTGTTAGAATAAAAACGAGAAAGAGAAACAAACAGACAAATAAAAACCAATATAAAACAAAACCAAAATATACTATTCAAAAACCCTAACCCTAAAAGACAAGGCAAGGAAAAATAAGTACATTTTTAAAAGTATTACACATGTGAAAAAAGAAACCAATATGTATATGTGTATATGTCCATGAAGCATTCAGCAGACATACATAGAAAATATAAACACACACACAAAATTAAAATTAAAGAAGAAAACAGAGAGAGAGAGAGAGAGAGACTGATTCTTAATGAAAATTAAGGAATTGTTTTCACTGATGTGGTCAGAATAGTCAGTGAGAATATATGTTCACAGTCTGTGCCCAATTATTTTTTTTCCATTTCTTCTTGAGCTACGTACTTGAGTTATATACTGAACATGACAGTAAGAGCCAAGGGTTATTCCCTTCCTTTTTTGTGTGTTGCTCACCAAGTTGCAAGTTGGAATTCAAAAATTATCAGCTTTGCTTCTTACCAGTATTAGGATGGGATGGGAGGTGCTGTCAGCTAGAGTTTGGTCTGCTCAGAACAATTTGATGCACTCCCAGGGTTGGGCTACTGTAGAGTTCTGTGAGTGCAGTTTCATTAGGTGGAGTTCCCATGGTGGTTGTGAGCTTAGATCCAATCAGGCCCCAGATGCTTTTCTGGGTGATGACCGCTCTAGAGAGATTAGATCAAAGCACCCCTAGGACCCACCAGTTGCCCATCTCTGCTGGGAGACTATTCAATAATCGATTCAGGAGGCTGAGGCAGGAGGATGGTTAAGTTCAAGTCTAGCCCCCCAACAACTTAGTGAGGCCCTAAGCAATTTAGTGAGACCCTGTCTCAAAAATAAAAAAATAAAAATAGCTGGGACTGTGGCTCCATGGTAAAGTGCCCCTGGGTACCCAAAGGGGGAAACAAAAAAGAACTAGTTGTATATCCTGTGATAAATGAACTCTTTAAGTTTGTTTTGAGGATTATAAATAACCTATATACAATATCTAGCTTAGCATTCAGTAAGCAGTTTAATATATAATGGCCATAATTACTAATATTATTGCATAAATAATAGTAAATGTTCTTTTTAGAGACAAATTACAGAGACTAATGAAATTATTTCCCTGACCATTAATATCTCTTTTTATTTGTGTTAGTGGACATTGTATCTGTTTAAGGTGTTATAGGAAGGAAATACAAAAGAATACTGGTAGGCTCTACATCATTTCTTGGAAGTATTACTTCATAGTTTGTGATACCAAGTGATATGAGCAGCATAATTACAAGGCTACTTTCCAGAAACAGTGAGTCACTCAGATGTGTGCATTAGGACAGATGGATGGATAACCTTGTTTGTTCAAAAACAACAAACTATAGACAGAGTAAATTAGATGATGATAAATATATAAATTAGTAAAAGAAATTAAGAGAAGACATCAATCTTTTATGTCTATGTGGAGCTTGGGATTAAACCCAGGGCCGGTGCATGCTAATCATGCATTCTACCACTGAGCTACATCCCCAGCTCAAGAAATGATAATCTCAATTATTCTTATGTTTATTTTGATTTGTATAATTGTACCTCTATATATTCAAGCCTGTTATCTCTCTTTATTTCATATAGCTATTGGATGAACTCCCAATGATTTACAGCTGTTGCATATTTGTATACTGCATGTAAGTACTTATATTTAGATTTCAGTTGCTTTTGATATACTTTTGAATTCATATTTTTCTCAAGGAATTAATATAACAATTCAGTTATATTACTAGGATATTATAATGATGCAGAAGATTAGAAATTTTATGATATCAATTAGGAGAATAATTTCTTGGAAGTATTAATAATGTTATTTATTAACTTTTGTGATATCAAACCCTGTATCCAATTTAGATAAAATCTTAATTGTACTTAAGTTGTTCAATTTGCCTTTCCTTATGGAAAGAATGTACAAATTTAGATACTGGTTATATTTATTATTCCACAATATATAATATCATTAACAGTTTCTTAACAGAAGCTTGCCAGAAAAATGAAGTGCACTTCTAGTTGTACAATAATGTGTCATTTTAATCTCTTTGTTTTGAAGTTGCTTACTAAATAGTATTTGTTTCCTTTTAATTCTTCTTATTTTAAATCACAGTAAAGCTGTCAAGGATGTGCTTATTTTGATTGGCTGTTTACAAATATGAATGGGGATATTGAATCCAAAGTTCCCTTTCTGGTTCATATTTTTTATTTCAATCTCAAGGTAATTTCTATTTCCTGAGTGACAAATCTTGAAAAATAAAATGAAATAACATTAGTAAGCATTAATATTGCCTTTGTACTGTACTAGACAGCATACTACACCATCTCTAATTCTACACAGTTGTGCAAGATAAATGAGTATTGTCCTTATTTTGTAAATAAAAAAGTGATGCACAGAGAGATTTAGTAACTTTACTAAGTACTTAAGGGAGCTTTTTTATTGGAGGTCCCAAGAAAATTTCCTGAGCGTTCTACCCAGGTCCACCTCTTACTTTTGACTGACTGCAAGATTACATCGGATTTTCAAGTCCCCACTGCATATCACAACCCTGTACATGACAACTTTAGCTCATACTGACAATGCTAATTGGAGACAGTTCTTACAGGTTTAATGGTTAGGGAGAATTATCCTTATTTCCTTGTATTCTGAAATCTGGTCTGTGTAAAAGTAAAAAAAAAAAAAAAAA